TTCCGTTCGGCGGTAGACGAGGTCGGACCTCGCACCACCCCTTGGGCGTGCGTTATGTCCAAGTGTTGGGCGACCTCTGCCGACCTCGTGTTGGCCGACCTCGGGGTCGGCCGACCTCGAGTAGGCCGGCCTTGTGGCGCCCAAGTACCCGAGCCTAGACGTGCTTATGTTCGCTCCCAACTCAAAGCAGGATAATTGTTCAACAAAATCATTATTTCATTACGAGAGAAAGCAAACATTATTGTGGGGAGTCGGCCTGTTATTGGGGATGGGGCAGGCCGTACAAATGGATTTCTACTGGTAAAACTTCAGCAAGTGCTCCGAGTTCCACACCCTGTCCACCATCTTGCCTGATGTGGTTCTTAACTTGTAGCTGCCTGGTCGTACTATGGCGTCAACCATATATGGTCCTTCCCATTTCTTAGCAAATTTGCCTCCATCCTAGGGTCGGCTTGCCTCCCTCCTCCAAAGGACGTAATCGCCGACCTGGAAGTAATGGGGTCGGACCCTGTTGTTATGGTATGCCTTTGTTTGACGCTGGTAATTCTCGCGCGGACCATGGCGTCTTCCATTTTATCGTCGATGAGGTGGAGGTCGGCGGCGTGGTGTTCCTCATTGAGGTCGGGGTCGTACATCGCGACCCGATAGGATGGTATTGCGACTTCAGTGGGGGGCTCGTGCTTCGAACCTGTATGCTAACGCGAACGGTGTCTCCCCGGTGGCCCTTCTTGGGGTGGTGCGGTACGCCCATAGGACGGTGTCCAGCTCCTCCACCCATGTCCCTCCGGCTGCGTCTAGGTTCTTTTTGATGCCGTCCACTATTGTTCTGTTGGCGTTCTCCACCTGCCCGTTTGCTTGTGGGTATGCCACCTCCACGCGAGTGTGTTTTATGTACCATTGGTCGCAGAACGCCTTAAATTCTTTGCTCTCAAATTGACGCCTGTTGTCGGAGATGATTTGCATGGGGACCCCAAAACGGTACAGAATGTTCCTGCGTATGAACTCCGTGCACCGGGTGCTGGTTATGGTGGCGAGGGGCTCCGCCTCGACCCACTTTGTAAAATAGTCTATGGCGATTATTATGTACTTCCTCTTCGCGGACCCCATGGGTAGGGCCCCGACGATATCGATCCCCCACCGTGAGAACGGGATCACCGTGCTGATAGGCGTGTAGCTGGTTGCTGGTCGACCCGGCTCTGCGTGGAAGCGCTGGCAGGTCGGACACCCCCTGGCGTACTCCGCGCACTCCTTGGCCATCTTTGGCTAAAAGTACCCTTGCAATAGGGCCCTCCTTGCCATGGCGAAGGCCCCTTGGTGCGCCGCGCAGGTGCCCTCGTGTATCTCCTCCTTGACGGACTTGGCTTCGTCTAGGTATAAACATCGAAGGAGGGCGCCGTTGTAGGACCTTTTGTAAAGGGTGTCGCCAAGGAGAACGTATGTTGGTGACCTCCTCTTCACTGCCTTGGCGTCTGCCTCGTCTGCTGGTAGGGTGCCCGTTCTTTTGTACTCAACCAGGTGGTCAAACCAATAGGGGGGTCGAGCTTGTATGGGGAGGACTGGGTAGGCTTCCAGGCTGGACCTCTGGAGGTCTTCAATCCGCGCTATTTTAGAGACATGATCCGGGGTGCCGAGGCCAAGTTTGGAGAGTAGGTCCGCGTCCCCGTTTTGACTTTGGGGTACCTGCAAAATTTCGTAGAGGGTCAATTGACCTAGGAGCTGGAGTACCACGTCACGGTATCTCCTCATCCTCTCTTCGTTGGCTTCGAACTCGCCATTCACCTGTCTGACCACTAGTCGGGAGTCGCAACGCACCCTTACTTTGGAGGCCCGCAGACCCAACGCGAGCCTGAGGCCGCCCAGTAGCGCCTCATATTCGGCCTCGTTCTTGGACAGCTTGAAGTGGAAACGAAGGGCGTAGTAGGCCCGGAACCCTTCCGGGGTTACGAGGACCACCCCTCCGCCACACCCCTTAGGGCCGGACGAACCGTCCTTGGACAAGGTCCACCAATCTTCCTCATCGCTCCGGGCTAGCTCGGTGGCTTCTCGAGCGGTGCACTCGACTATGAAGTTGGCGAGTGCCTGCCCCTTGATGGCGGGTCGGGGCTTGAACTGGACGTCATATTGGCTCAACCGCATGGACCACTTGACCAACCTGCTTGCCGACCCCGAGGCCCTTAGCACCGCCTCGAGGGGTTGGTTGGTGAGGACCCGCACGAGGTGTGCTTGGAAGTAATGGTCGAGCTTCTTGGCCGTGGCGTCCACCGCGAAGATTGCTTTTTCCGTGGGTAAGTACCTGAGCTCGGCACCTTGGAGGGCTCTGCTCACATAGTACACCGGGCGTTGTGTCCCAGCGTCATCTCGGACCAGTACGGAGCTGATCGCGGCTTGCGAGATGCCCAAGTACAGATACAAAGCCTCCCCCTTCTCCGGTTTGGCTAGCGGGGTAGTGACATGAGGTACGTCTTGAGGTCTTCGAAGGCTCTCTGGCACTCGTCTGACCATTCGAACCCCTGGGTCTTCTTGAGGACCCCGAAAAATGGCAGGGACCTCTCGGCGGACCTTGAGAGGAATCGGCCGAGGGCCGCCAGCCGACCATTGAGGCGTTGGACCTCGCGGAGGGACTTCGGGGGTTCCATCTCCAGGATGGCCTTGACTTTCTCGGGGTTGGGCTCAATACCCCTCTTTGAGACCATGTACCCCAGGAACTTCCCTCCGTGTACCCCGAAAGTGCACTTTTTGGGGTTCAAACGTAAATCAAATTGCCTCATAATGGAAAATACCTCAGTCAAGTCGGCCGTGTGGAGGTCGGCCTCCGTGCTCTTCACAATCATGTCGTCGACGTAAGCTTGCAAGTTCCGGCTAAGGACTTTCTTGAACACCTTGGCCACCATCCTTGTGTACGTGGCTCCCGAGTTCTTGAGCCCGAATACCATGACCCGGTAGCAAAAGACCCCTTTGGGAGTGGTGAACGCCGTCTTCTCCTCATCGTCCTCGTGAATGAAAATTTGGTGGTACCCCCGGAAGGCGTCTAGGAAGCTCATGAGTGCGCATCCCGCCGTCTTGTCAACCAGCTGATCTACGTTGGGCAGCGGGAAGGGGTCCATGGGGAATGCCTTGTTGAGGTCCGTGTAGTCCACACACATCCTCCACGTAGATGGTTTAGGTGCGAGGACTATGTTCGCAAGCCATGCCGGGTATATGACCTCCCTTATGTGTCCGATCACGGGGAGGGTGTTGACCTCCTTCTTTACAAATTCTCGTCTGTCCGCGGCGAGGTAGCGCTTCCGTTGTTGGACCGGCTTGGCTTGGGGGTCCACTGCCAGTTTGTGTGTGATGACCTCCCAGTTGAGGCTAGGCATGTCCTCGGGACCCCAAGCGGACACGTGCTTGTAGCTGCGGATGACCTCCACGATCCGACCTCGGAGGTCGGCCGGGAGGCCTATGCCCACCTTCACCGTCCTGTCGGGTCGGCTGAGGTCCAGAATGACCTCTTCTGTTTCCACTACGGGTTCAGCGCGGGGCCGCTTCTCCTCCTCCCGAAGTGCCTTCTCGGTTACTGTGTGCACCTGGAGGTCCTTCTTCGTTATTTGGCGGTAGGCCTTCAAATAGTAGCTCCGGCTGATTTTCTGGTCTCCTCGTGCGACGCCCACTCCAGTGGGAGTAGGGAACTTAAGGTAAAGGTGTTCCATGGAGATGATGCACCTAAGGTCTTCTAGGGCAGGTCGGCCAAGGATGATGTTGTGGGCGCAACTGATCTTTACCACCACGAACTCGACCTCCCACTTCTTGACGTGCGGCGGGGTGACGATCTGTGCCTTGAGGGTGATGGAGCCCTCCGTCTCAATGGAGTCCCCGGTGAAACCAGATAGCGGGGTCCGTACCTAGGAGAGCTGTTTCCTGGATAGGCCTAGCTGTGTGAAGGTGTCATAATACATGACGTTCACAGAGCTCCCCGTATCGACCAGTACCCGGTGGACAATGATGTCTTTGAGTTCCAACCTGATTGCCAATGCGTCTCGGTGGGGCAAGGGGCCGTCTGGGAGGTCGTCGTCAGTGAACGTTATAGGCTCCCTGCGTGTCCTCTTCTCATGGGGTGCTCGGACGACCTCCCCCACGTATAGGCTCCGCGCCCACCTCTTCCTCTCGGCAGGCGTGTCTCCTCCTTCCAGGCCGCCAAAGATGACGTGGATGACTTTCTCCTTTGGTGGGCTGTCTGGCTTAGTCTCCTCGTCCTCCGTGAGTTGGCCGAGCTCCCTCTTGCGCGGGGCAGAGGTGGATGGTCCAGCGCCATCCCTCTTCTTCCGGGCGTTGTCAGGGCCTTTAGCGTGGTCCTACCCGGATCTCTTCACGTACTGGCCAAGGTACCCCCGTTGGATGAGCTCTTCGATCTGTCTCTTGAGGACCATACACTCGTCTGTGTCATGCCCACGCTGCCGATGGAAGCGGCAGTACTTTTTCGGGTCGGCCTTGGGGAGATCTTTAAGCACTCTTCGGGGAACGACACGGTCCAGAATGACGCTCATGGGTTGTGTCAGCGGGGTCAGGTGTCGCAGCGGGGCTAGCCGGGGACCCCGATCACGGCGTGACCGTGGGGGGCGGCGGTCCTTTTGAGGTTGAGGTGCTCTGTCGCCCCGACTTCGACCTTCCTCCTCCTCCTTCTTCCTCTTTTCTGCCACCTCGACATTGGCATACCGCGCGACGCGGTCCATCAATTCTGTGTACGTCTTTGGCTCATTCCGGACAAGGTCACTGTGGAAAGGGCCCTACCTGAGGTTGTTAGTGAAAAATGGGATGGCAGACCTTTCGTCAAAATTCGTCACCCCCATGGCTTCCTTCTTCCACTTGCTCAGGTACTCCACCAGGGTCTCCGACTTTTGCTGCTTCAGGTAGCACAGGTCGGCGAATTGCTTCCTCCGTTGTATGCTACCCGCGAAGTGCGACATGAACTTCTTGGCTAGGACGGCGAAAGTGGCGATAGACTACCCCGGCAAGGACCCGAACTAGTCTTGGGCCTGGCCATCCAAAGTTGTGCAGAAGCCGCGGCACATGATGGTGTCGTTGACGCCTGTCATCATCATGACCGCCTTGTACCTGTTGAGGTGATCCTGCGGGTCCGTTGCTCCCGTGTAGGGTTTGACGGCCGGGAATCTGAAGTCCCAAGGCAGGGGCTCGGCCATGACTTCTTTCGTGAAAGGTGTGGCCAAAGCGTCCCGAGGCTCCGGTGACTCGTCGCGTGCCTCCATCTTGCGCTGCAACTCACGCATCTGCCTGCGCAGTTGCTCCATCTCATCACGCTGGGAGCTTAGAGGTCGACCTCGCGTCTCCCCCGAGCGCTCCACTGGTGGGATCGGTTCCCGTGGCCCTGGAGCACGAGGTTCACGGCTCCGGGACCTCCGTGAACACGACGACTCTGCCGGCCTGGCATCTGCGGCCGGCCTCGGCCCTAGTCGGTCTTGCACCGGCACATGCGGGCTCAACCGCCCGAGCGCGGATGTGGCCCGGGTCGGCCGAGTCCCTCTCTCTTCCCGTTGCTCGTGCCGGCCTCGGCTGGCCTCCGCCTCGTCTCGTCTCTCGGATGGCCTTGGTGAGTTGACTTCCCCATCGGCCGGTGTCGCGGGCGCGCGAGGCGCTAGAGTGCTGGGACCCTCGTGCTCCCTTGGAGAGGGTGGAGGTTGAGGTGTTGGGGCACCCCGTCGCAGCCCTGCCGCGACGCGGTTGAGCGCGGTCGCCGCCTGCTCGAGTGCGGCGGCCTTCTCTTGGGGAGTTGGGACCGGTGGTGGGGCGGGTGGCGTTGTCCCGCTGAGCGAGCGATTGTTGGTGAGCCGACCCCAGAGGTCCTCTGCCGCCCCCCGCCGACTCCCCTTGATCTGATCTCGAAGGTCTCCTCCTGCCACCACGGGCACGGTTTGTCGGCTTGTCGTGGCCCCGTTGGGGAGGTTGGCGAGGGAGAGGTCGCGTGTGTGGCGTGAACCATGCGAGTTGTGGGTGTTCGACCCAGATCTTGTCATCACTGTGGATGAAGGATAGTATGGAGAGCGCTTAAGCTTGGGCTCGGATGGAGCGATTAATTCCATCACCGGTCACCACTTACGCAGCTCCTATGGGGATACAGGAGGCGTTGTCGCGTCGCCCCCCTTCGCGACATGAAGAGTACGAGCCACATGGTCCCTTGGCCGCGCGGGGGTTTGGCGATGTCGCTGCTCGGGCTCTGCGACCATACAAGCCCAGCCACATCGAATTCATTCGACGAAATGTGCATGACATGGTGACTCCCTCCAAATGGTTTTGGATGGATAGCATCTCCATGGATACACTCAGCTCCCACCTGGTGGGAGATAGCATAAATGTAATTTTTTTTCATTTTTTTTTGAAACCTCTATTGCGAGGACCCTTCATCCATACCCAACTTTATTGCCCACGTCGCTTGGTCCTGACCCCCCCCCCCCCCCTTTTTTAGGTGATCATGCATGCTATTGGGTTGTAGCAGCAGTTTAGATGCGGCCACCAGGGAGTATACCGAGTCTGAACGTGCACGAGAGATGTTGGTAGTCGATTTAGCACGATCGGAACGAAATCACATGCAATTGCGCGTGGCGCATGATACATTGGTGGCTGAGCATGGTCGGTTGGAGAAAGAATTCCAGGCTTTGCAAGAGCGACTCATACAATTGGAGGCCCTTCACGCTAATGCCGTACAGGCAGCCATTCGAGATTGGCGAGGTTTTCACAATTTTGTGCGAGTGGCAGATGAGCATGCTATGTCAGGTATGCCTACTCTGCTGCAGTCTTGGTTAGCGTCCCCTCATATGTCAAGTCAACCGATGATGGACGCCCTGGCTAAGTGGCGAGAGGCCCAAAATCCTCGTTAGTTTACATGTCCTCCTTCTGTGCAGATCTTTCAAGACTAGGTGACTACGCAGGGTGGTCGGGTTGCTATGGCTCCTCTTGCAGAGGTTTGGTTGCGAGAGACGTTGGAGGGTCAGAGCCGGATAGTTCGCGAAGGTGAGGCTTCCTTTTACATGGGACAACGGCAAATACAAGAGATCCTGTACGGAAAAACTGGATCGCCGTCTTTCCACATTTAGTATGGGTGTATGGGAACTACCAGAGCTATTTCCTCTACAGCAACCACCTCAACCGATGATCCCTACTATGCCATCCCCGCCTGGTAATGCTTTCCTGATTACTCCAGAGAAACCCGGATGTGGAATCGGTTCGTCTCTCGCGGCGCCGTATGACCCATCATCTGGCCCTGATGGCGTGGGAAGCGTGAATCCATCATCTACGTGAGCCGAGGTGTGTCCCGGTCATAGAGCCATCTCTTGTCGCTGTTTCTTTTTTGTTTTTTATTTTCGGTTTGTCGCCATAACTGGATTTTTGCTTGTTGCCATGCTCATCGTATGTATCGCTTTTATTTGCATTGGCTGTCGTACTCCATATCTGTATTATTTCTTTCTTTTGTTTATCCCCCTTCATATTGTTGTGAGCTTGACGTCTAAAGGATAGCATGCGTTACCTGTCTCCAGGTGGTCTCCTTTTTTTTTTTGAACGGTGCACGCTGGCTGCGTACCATACCCTGCAGGCCCATGTGGATGTGTGTATACCCTTCGTCTTGGGGATTGCGTCCCATTCAACAATGGTAGACTAGTGTGGGGGCTGCCTACTACCTCATGCTAGCGCCACACACTGTGTGATTCCGTTTTTTTTTTTCTTTTAACGGTGCACGTTGGGCTGCGTACCATACCCTGCAGGCCCAGGTGGATGTGCGTATACCCCTCGTCTTGGGGATCACGTCCCCTTCAACGATGGTATACTAGTGTGGGGGCTGCCTGCTGCCTCATGCTAGCGCCACACACCGTGTGATTCCTTTTTTTTTTTTTTTTTTTTTTTTTTTTTTTTAAAGAGAATGTATGCTGGCTACAATCCCTGTAGGCCCAGGTGAAGGTGCGTATGTTGGAGCGGAGCTCGCGTTCATGCGGGTAGATAATGAAGATTCATTATCGTTTTAGGATCAACAGACCTTTATTATGCTTAATAATGATGATGTAAAACAAAACCAAAAAGAGGCAAAAAATGTGAAAGCGTACCAAATCTAGGAATGGAACTCATGTGCTCCCCGCCCCACCGAGAGGCGGGATCCGCGCCTACATGCTGGGCTCAGACGCATACCAGGTGGAAGTCTACTTCCAGATCCGTTCATCTAGGTGCTTGTTGGACTTGAGTGCGTGATAGAATGTTAGAGGAGGTAAAGCTAGGGTCGCCAAGACCTCTTTGTACAACCCATAGACCGTGCAATGATGTTTTACCGCCGGACCACATATACCCGAATGGTGGCCCCGATTGTCACGTATTGCTGGGGCACACATTAAACGAAATATAGGAAATATAGAACGGAATAAAAGAGCTATTATTGCCAGTGGGACGCGAGGCCCACATAGATGCGCACTAGCCCAATGTGGAAGGGAAGTTATACGATGAAAAGGAAAATAAATGGATAGACAGAAACCCGAATTACATGCATAATACCAGAATCGATCCTTTGACCAATTAGGAGAGAGAGAAGACTCAGACCGCCAGGCTACCAGGTCTTTTTGTGTTTTTTCCCCGTCTTAAACTGACCGCAGCCCCCCCCCCCCCCCCTTTTATACCCTCTCAGGACTTCCGCATACCACACACGTGTACGATATCTACAGCCTCCAGCTCCCACCATACACGTGTCCTCCCCTCTCCGCACGTACCCCCAACTACTCGAATGAGACCGATTTTGTCGCGCACTCTCCAGGGATCCCTGTTCCTATACGCACCCCTCTCCGTCAACCGCCCTTCCGTGCGCAGCATGCATGCACTAGCCACCATTCCACCCGCATGCATGCATGTACGTAGTCGCCAACAGCATGCATGCAACCGCCACCCGTACGCGCAGCCGCCACCTTATACACATGCAACTGTCACCGTACACGCAGCAGCCACCTTGTGCGCATGCAACCGTCACTCGTGCGCGCAACCGCCACCTTGTACGCATGCAACCGTCATCCGTACGCGCAGCCACCACCTTATAGGCATGCAAGCGCCACCCGTGCGCGCAACCGCCACCTTGTACGCATGCAACCGCCACCCGTACATGTAGCCGCCACCCTGTACGCATGCAACTACCTCGCATACACGCGTGCATGCATGTTTGCGATGTCCATGCGTACGTGTAAGCATGCAAGCGAACCCATGCGTGTGAGCCCCCTTCCTCATCCCTTTGAGCTCACACTCTCTAATCTATATGGGCCAAGTCCATTATATTATTCTCCATCATATATTATTTTATATATTATTAATATTATATTTTAATTTTTTTTATACAACTAGTAATTATATTTTCAAATATTTTATTTGAACAATTATGTTATTATAAATTCACTATTGTTTTGAATTTCCTATAGTAGTTGTTTTTATGATTATTAATATTATATAAGTAATTAGCATATAACTGTCATTATACTATGGATAAAAAAGAATAATGTTGAGAATGTTAATTTTATACTTTTTATACACGCTATGCGCAAAAGTTCATGTATAATATTGAATTATTGATAAATAAAAATAATTAAAAATTTTATTTTAAATTATATTTTACAATTCCTTAAGGTAGTCAATTTTAATCATTGTATTATAAAATTATTGAGGAAAAAAAATTAAAGAATTTATATTTAATGTAAACAATTTTGATAAATTTTGTACTTTGTTTTACAATATATATATATATATATATATATATATATATATATATATATATAATAGGAAAAGGGTATGATAAGTATATATAAAACCATCAATGTTAGATTTTTAATGCCCCCACACTAGGGTTCAAACCTGAGACCTCTTATTTGAAGGGTCACAACTATGTTGCTCGACCACAAGGCCTTTGACATTAATGTTTGAATTAAAAAATAATGAAGTTATAAAGGTGTAAGGGTAATTTTGTCTAACAAGAATGTAGTAGGGATAATTTTGTCCAATAAAATTAAAGTGTACAACATTTAAAGTAAAAGTTATACCTTTATTAGCATACAAAAAATGAACATGTATTAGGGGTATAACATGGATTGAGACATAACCACTCCGCAATTGAGAACGTGTGGTCTAATCTGAACCATTAAAAACAAAGGACATACGGGTGTGATTAAACAAATAAATGTACTTAGATTAAGGAAATTAGGAGAATAAAATAGTAAAGAATATTTGGCCAAGGGCAAATGATTCTTCCAAACAACCAACCGCATAAAAAAAAATAATAAATCCTTCCACACTACAATTTCCAAACCTATTTCTTCTCTAACAATATTAAAGGAAACAAACAACTATTGTTGTCAAAAAACAAAACTCCACGACTAAAAAAACTGTAACGACAGTATAATGCACCACCACAACTAAAATAGTGATGCATTGATACCTCACTAATGCATAACTCACAATCCTACAATGCACCACACCTAGCACTCTAGTTCATAGTCGAATAGCCTACAATGCACCACACCTAGCGCCCTAGCGCATAGTCGAACAGCCTACAATGCACCACCTCCAAAAATCATAGATTTATCAACAATCCTACGATGCACCACACTAAGCGTACTAATGCACAGCTCACTAGCCAATAATGCACAACTCATAACACTGGGTTGCACAACCGATACAACATAATGCACAACCATATTACCCAGAATGCATACATAGACACCAACATTCAAATATAGACAATATTATACTCAACAAACTCTATCACTAATAACTGAAAGATAGGCTTAGTAACAGAAACGATTGAAACCAAATGAGGACTAGTTCAGGACGTAGTGCAATGCGTAAAAATTACACAAATGTAGAGGCAGAAAAAGGCAAACAAACATAGAACAGAGTAAGTTTGTTAACCCAGTTCGGAATAACAATTCCTACGTCTGAAGGACACCACAAGATGGTTTGCCCAACTCTTCATTCATAATTGATTTGAAGGTGTTTTACCAAACAAATAGTTATGAACGAACTCTTCGAGCTTTTGACTAGTCATAAGCAATGTGTGTGCGTCGAAGAC